AAATCAGGTGAGGGTCAGGAATATTATGCAAAAATTGTTACGCTAAGTTAACTAGAAGTTATTGAGGTACGAAACTACACCCATACCGGACACACAGGCGTATTTATCACGATTGCATTATGGTCGCTATTATTGGGCAAGCTCGATTTCGTTATTGTGACATCGCATTGACGTAATTTTTGGATGACGAAGTCAGGTGAGGGTCAGGAATGATATATGCAAAAATTGTTACGCTAAGATAAGTATAAGTTATCGAGGTAAGAAACTACATCCATTGCGCTAAGGCAAATTAATATGTCGGTTTCTGCTTGTCTAAAGCCTTGCATAGAGTGAAAGCGTTCCACGTCCTATATATAAAATGTGGCCCAATACATGATCAGTCTCTGGATATTAAATAACAAGTCTTTATGTCTGCGGCACCTAACCTCAATCATTGCGTGAATTAAATGTTCTTTCTGTTTGTCTAAAGCCTAGCTCAGAGCGGTATCGTATATCACCCTATTAATAGATCGTAGCACAATACATGAGCTATTGCTGGACATAAAATAATAAGTCTTTATGTGTGTGGTACCCAACTTCAACCATTGCGTAAAATAACATGTATTTTCTGCTTGTCTAAAGCCTTGGTTAGAGTTGTATCGTATAACGCTCTATTTTAGATTGTAGCACGATACATGAGCTATTGCTGGACAGAAATTGGTCAGAATGGGATATCGTGAACGTTCCTTGGCGACAATTTAGTCGCTTGTGATTCTTGTTTAATTTTGAGCTCTGTACAACGACCCCGATAAGAGAGAGGTCGCTGACGTATTGAGTTTGTTGACATACTCGTAGGCGCCATTACGGGTGACCGTCGCTATACTTTGGCAAGCTGTATTTCGTTATTGTGACGTCGCAGTGACGTAATTTTTGGATGACGTCATCAGGTAGGGTTCAGGAATCATATATCCAAAAATTGTTACGCCACGCCCACTAGAAGTTATTCAGGTAAGAAAGTACATGAGACCCGGGATTAGTTATATTGTTTGTTTTCGGAAACGTGGACTTGGTGGTGGAGGAAGCCGTACGGTAACCGACCAGCGGTTACGTGAACCACCCAACGACGGCGAGGAGTCCAGAAATCCTCTGGCACATACCGGTATTCATCCTTGCATGGGGTTCGAACCTGCGAACCCACGCAGAGTAATTAGAGGTGCGTTGGCGAGCGTATTCCTAACGCTTAGCCCGTTGAGCCACACCGCCGCGCCAAGCCAATTAGTCAGATGTAAAAAATGGTAGAGTTACACTAACGTCAGTAACGACGACGTAACATGACGTCGTCTTCGCAGTGAACAACGTCAATTAACAGTAACAGGTGCGTCAGATGCTATTATTTTGATAATAAAAAAAACTATTTGAATTTTAATTGTTTCTCGAGTCTCCTGCGACATCTCGCGATCAGTCTAAATTTCGATATACATTGATAACGTCCTCTATCGAATGGAGGTATTTTGTTTTGGTGTTTTTATTCTAGGTTTTCTATAGTCCGAGTGTTATATAGGCCTGATTATAAACCAGTCCAGTGAACCGGTTTGATTCGGAAATGTCAAAAGTAGTCTCGGAGACCACTTAGCGCCCTCGATTACATGTCCAAACTAACGAGATCAGAACAGTTTTAGATCTGCCGGACTAGAGAAAATGAGTCGTGATTTGCAAACACTGCATATATTTAATAAATCCATAAATTCAATACAAATGTTAATATACAATACAAAAGTATCAAAATTATATGCACGGTATTGATTGAAGTTCTGTGAAGTTATTTGCAGAATATGATGAGGTGTTGCTTTCCCGTTGAAATTTTCCTATAATCTAAAAACCAAACGTCAAATTAATTGAAGGCATAAAAGGTAGACGAGTTTGGCTGTTCATTCAGCGTTCAACGGCACCTCATGTCACATGATCCATTCACAAAAAATTACAGTAGGACTACAGTTACCAGTAGTCTACTGGCAACCAAATTTAAACATTTACAGTTTATCAATCGAACACTTTGTGTGAAGTGGGCTCATCATATGTAAATAGAAGCACTTTCATTATTCAATATAGCCCTACTACTGCGACGTTACGACACTGAAGCATTGAATTTGTACAGGTATTTACCGTACGTGTGTTTGCAGGTTTGAATCCATATAGAGATAGCTATGTGCAAGAGGATAGCTGGACTACTCGCCGCTGTTGGGTGGTTCACTTGGTTGAATATGGCCAGAGATGGCCAATTTTTATTCGAATATCTGGTTATTCGAATATCGGAATTAGCGTTCATAAGAATATCGGATATTTGTGTGACGTCACACCTTTTCGACACGGTTTCAAGACGTTTCCGTTGAGTGAAAACATTCTCGATAGGAACTTGCGCGCGATTGCTTTATCAGCGGACGTGTTATTTAGACAGTAAACGCCTTTACGTTTGTGAAAATAAAACCGTAAACAAAATATGTTTTATTGAAGCCCGCGACAGTTTAAAAAACGCTTTTTTAGGCAGTGAAAATCGCAAAATTTCCACATTATGTTTGGTCCGCGTTTAGAAACATATCGTCACTAATTGAGGGTGGGATTTTCCTGATTATCATTACCTTAATTAAATTGCTATCGAAAATTTTTGTGTTAACATTATACAAGCTTTGAAACGCGTCTCTTTTACAGGGTTGTGAGAACGTATATAATATAATTAATCTAAAGTATATTCAATCAATTTTTATTGGGCTGAAATAAATTTTACTCTGAGATTTTACGGTAGATTTATGAATTTTTCGAGCGGTTTTATCTAAAAAATAATTGGAGTGGCGGCATTTGGATTGAGCGGAGTCAGTGTTACACATCTCAAATTTGCCGAATTCGCAAAAAACGGATCAAAACAATATATAATCGGGCAGTTTACCACACATTTTTATTTTTATTTCCGCAGATTGCCATGGCATATTAGAGTTGTGAGGATTTTATTTTGTCGACGCAACCGCAGGTTAAATTGAAGACAATTAAATTAATAAAGCAAGACATTTTAAATATGCCCGTATCGGCCACGAATTAATCACTTTGCACAACAGAAAAATATATATTCCTTGTAAAAGTCAGCGAACGCGATAACGAGTTGGCAAGATTGCACAAATACGTATAAACGCCGTGGACCGAATAGTAATGTTTTTATTTTGACGTAAGAAGCAACCACGAGTTACGTTGGACACATTAAATTAATATATGAAGATATTTTAGAATCTCGTAGTTGTCATTGATTGAAATAATTGACGTGACAGGATGATCATTATACGCTGAAAAGACGGCTCTTAACAAGCGCAGAATCGCGGTGGATGTTACAGGCGCCAATGGGAATTTTCAATTTTGAAAATCCTGTCTGCGCGCCTGGCAGTGGTGGTCATCTATCCTCTAACTTGTTGCTAATTTCAGACTTAACAATATGCTAAACATAATAACCACAAACTATCAATTACTTTGTATACATATACTGTTGGTTTGTGGCTTTACTCTAATATTTCTATTGAAGCTTATTTCCTATTTTACTGGGTTTTATAAACTAAAACAAAAATGTGTTATTTTAGAATGTATTCGTAATTCCAGATTCGAAAACATTATTTTAGAATGTATTCGGAATAGTTTAGTATTCGGAAATGGCCATCCCTGGTTATGGCTTCCTCCACCTGTTTTATTCTATGTTTTACTACGGAATTAGCTGTTGCAAGTGCTGTTCAAGTGTTGTGTTTAAGAAATTGTTTATTGTTTTTTAAAATGCCTGTATTTAATTTCAGCCTATTATGTAAATAATCAGCTAGTTGACTAGAAAGCAGGGATGACCAATTTGAATATTGGAATTAGCCTTTATGAGAATATCGGATATTCGTGTGACGTCACACATTTTCGACGTCGCTTTCAAGACATGTCCGTTGATGAAAACATTCTCTATAGAAACTCGCGCGTGATTGCCGCGTTGCGTATTATTTAGGCCTTAAACGCCTTTACGCTTGTGTTATTTTCTCTAAAACGCAAGTTTCCACAAATTTGTACTACGATAACGATAACCATGATTTTATTTTTGTACTCGCACGGAATTGTGAATACGTTCATCGGCGGCGAGTTTCTAAAGACAACAAATTTTTTGATTGAAAAGCGGCAATTTAAAATACTGAAAATAAAACTGTAAACAATATTATAAGTTTTATTGAGGCCGGCGACAGTTTAAAGAACGCTTTTCTAGGCAGTGAAAATCCGCAAAATTTTTGTGGGCCTCCCACACACATTATGTTTGGTTCGGCGTTTAGAAACATAATCGTCACTAATTGAGGGTGACTTTGCCCGATTATCCATTAATTTATAATCACATACTATTTTGATTTGTAGTCATCTTGGGAAATTGTATGTGGCAAAGTTTGCGGCCCGTCGTGCCTTCAGATTTAAGTTTGCGGCCCTCATGGTAATTTGAGTGTGGCAGGCATGTTCTACATTATGGAAAGTTCTATAGAAATGATGGGAACCACCGAAGACGTATTTCCTTGCCTCATCTGTGATTGAAAACTTCTTATCCGGGCCAAGTTTGGAGAAGCATATGTTTTCGCACATTAACGATGAAAAATATTTTAGAACTGAGGATTTAAACTATTATCCAACTATCAACATTGTTGAAACAAGTCAGGCTTCTAGCTTTGATGATCAAAGTGGAAATGTTTTTACAAATGAAACTTCTTTACAAAGAGAAGGGAGCCTGATATCATGCACAATGGTAGTAAAAGTTGGTTGATTGATAAAATTTGCTGGGTAGTTAACCCAGCACATAAATGGGATCAACTTAACATAACCTCTGTACCAGACGGAAAGGTTACAAACCAAGTCACTCGTTCATAGCAACAGCAGACCAGATTTGCAAACCTGCAGTGGAGAGAAACCTCATGTTTGTAAACAATGCGGAAGAGGTTTTTGGCAATCACATCATTTACATAACCATGAGCGAACTCATACGGGAGAGAAACCTTATGTTTGTGAACAATGTGGGAAATGTTTTTCACAGTCATCTACTTTACATGAACATGAGCGAACTCATACCGGAGAGAAACCATATGTTTGTAAGCAATGCAAAAGAGGATTTTCGGATCGATCTAATTTATATAGACACAAGAAAATTCATACCGGAGAGAAACCTTACGTTTGTAAACAATGCAAAAGAGGTTTTTCGCAAACACATCATTTACATGAACATGAGCGAACTCATTACCGGAGAAAAACCTTATGTTTGTAAACAATGTGGAAAAGTTTTCGCGATTATTTTAATTTAAATACACATAAGCGAACTCATTCTGGAGAGAAACCTTATGTTTTGTAAACAATGTGGAAAAAGTTTTTCTCAGTCATCTAATTTATATACACATGAGCGAAGTCATACTGGAGAGAAACCTTATGTTTGTAAACAATGTGGAAAAAGTTTTTCGCGATTAACTAGTTTATATACACATGAGCGAACTCATACCGGAGAAAAACCTTATGTTTGTAAACAATGTGGAAAAAGTTTTTCTCAGTCATCTAGTTTATGTACACATGAGCGAAGTCATACTGGAGAGAAACCTTATGTTTGTAAACAATGCGGAAAAGGTTTTTGGCAATCACATCATTTACATAACCATGAGCGAACTCATACTGGAGAGAAACCTTATGTTTGTGAACAATGTGGGAAATGTTTTTCACAGTCATCTACTTTACATGAACATGAGCGAACTCATACCGGAGAGAAACCATATGTTTGTAAGCAATGCAAAAGAGGTTTTTCGCATCGATCTAATTTATATAGACACAAGAGAATTCATACCGGAGAGAAACCTTACGTTTGTATACAATGCAAAAAAGGTTTTTCACAAACACATCATTTACATGAACATGAGCTAACTCATACCGGAGAGAAACCTCATGTTTGTAGACAATGTGGAATAAGTTTTTCACAGTCATCTTCTTTATATAGACATGAGCGAACTCATACCGGAGAAAAACCTCATGTTTGTAAACAATGTGGAAAAAGTTTTTCGCGATTATCTAGTTTATATACACATAAGCGAACTCATTCTGGAGAGAAACCTTATGTTTGTAAACAATGTGGAAAAAGTTTTTCTCAGTCATCTAGTTTATATACACATGAGCGAAGTCACACTGGAGAGAAACCTTATGTTTTGTAAACAATGTGGAAAAGGTTTTTCTCAGTCATCTAGTTTATATACACATGAGCGAAGTCATACTGGAGAGAAACCTTATGTTTGTAAACAATGTGGAAAAAGTTTTTCTCAGTCATCTAATTTATATACACATGAGCGACATCATAGATTCATGACTCTGTAAAGGGGGCGGTGTCGTGTCGATAATAGTAATTTTCCAATTTTTCATTTCAGATGTTAGAACTTTTAGTTCCTCGCAACTTCCCTTCTCCAGTAAAACTGTAAATATAATTTTTTTCAATTGTGCTCATGTGATGACCTTGCCAGTAGCTGATAGTGGTCCGTGGTTTGCTATATGATTCTTTTGTGTTTCATTCTAGTTCTGGCTATTGTAAGTGCTGCTCAAGTATTATACATGTCTAGGAAATTGTTTATCTTTTAAAATTACTGAATTGAGTATTTGAGCTTCAGCCTATTTTGTGAATAATCAGCTGGTTGATTAGAAGGTACCATATTTTCCCACAATGTTGGATGTTGTATATTGTTTTCTTACATTGCATTATTTTTAACATATCCTTCTATTTTACTGATTGTTAGGTGATACTGTGATAAATGAGATTAAAATAGCATTATTTGAAGTTAATTGAGAAGATTTACATCAGACCGTATTAGAAGATACAGTTTTTCAAACTGGGAAAATTTATACATAGACTGACATAACTATCAATATTTATATATTCTCCATTAGGGAACCTCGGAAGACGTATTACTTTGCTGACATGTAATGAAAACTTATCATCAGGGCCAAGTTTGGAAAAGCACATGTTTTCGCACATTGACATTGAAAAACTATCAATATTATCTCCGATGAGCATCGTGGAAAAGGGATTACAAATGAATGAGAACGCGATGTTCATGCATAATGTAGAGGAAGTTGGTTGATTGATAAAACATGACCCAGCACATAAATGTGAGCAACTAAACATAACCCCTGTATCAGTCGAAAAGTTCATACCAACAGAAGACCAGGTTCCATATGTTTGCAAACAATGGGGGAAGAATTTGAAATCAAAGGGAAATTTAAATATACATATGAGAATCCATACCGGAGAGAAACCATTTGATTGTGAACATTGTGGTAAGGTTTTTTCGCAATTATCTCATTTACATAACCATGAGCGAATTAACGATTTTGTGAACAACGTGAAAAATTTTATGTGTGTATGAGCAAAGTTATACCAGATGTAAACCTTATATTATGTTTGTCACAATCATCTCATTTACATAGGCATAAGCGAAGGCATACCGAAGAAAAACATTATGTTTGCACACAATGTGGAATGGGTTTTTCACAATTATTTAATTGAAATAGCCACAAGCGAACTCATCCCAGAGAAAAGCCTTATGTTTGCAAACAATGTGGAAATTTATGTGAGCAAACTTATATGTAAAATAAACCTTATGTCTGTGAACATTGCGGAAAGGGATAGCCACAAGCGAACTCATACAGGGGAAAAAGCCTTATGCTTGGAAACGATGTATAAATGGTTTATCAGAATTATGAGCAAACTCATACCGGAGAAAAGCCTTATGATTGCAAACAATGGTTTTTCGGAATCAGCTCTTGAGAAACTTTGTTTACAAACAATGTGGAAATGGGATTTTCGCAATCATCCAATTTGCATATGCATAAACGAACTCATACCGAAGAAAAACCTTAAGTTTGTGAACCATGCTGAAGAAGTTTTTTATGAATATTCAATTTACGCACACATTAACAAAATCATCTAGTTTGCGTGTGCATGAGCAAAGTCATACCAGAGAGATACCAAAACAATGTTGAAAATTTTTTTCATAAATGTTTCCTTTTCTAGGACCATCAGAGGATTTATACAGAAGAGAAACCATATGATTGTTAACAATGTTGCAGGTTTCTCATCTAATTTACAAGTGCATGAATGAGTGGTGTAATTATCATTATTTCTAGATTTGTGCTCGTGATATTTCTTTTGCTGGTTGGGAAAAATAAACTTGGCCTTGCCAACAGCTGCGAGTGGTCGGCCACTTGGTTAAGCCCAGTTATCGACTTTTCTTTCCCCTAGGATAGATAGGATGACATTACTGTTTTGGTATAGTGCAATCACAGTTGTTTTGGTGTTTTATTCCGGGGTATTAAGTTTCAGCCTATTCTATGAATAATCAGCTAATTGACTAGAAAGTACTCCCTACGTTCCCGTAGGTTCCCTACGAAATTACTTATTGCAAGTGCTGTTCAAGTGTTATGTGTGTATGAAATTGTTCAAAGTGCCTGTATTAAGTTTCAGCCTATTTTATGAATAATCAGCTAGTTGACTAGAAATTACTCCCTCGATATTGAATGCTTTATTTTATGGTTTGTCTATGATTTCCGATCTGTTATTGTAGCTTTTCTATTGTTAAAAATAGTAAGGTCATAAATAAGGTTAAAATAAGAAGTGTGTATTGAGAAGAAGATTGGCATCAAAGCATATTAGAAAATACATTAAACTGGGAAAATTCTTACATAGACTGACGGTACGCTGCACTTTTGAATTTATTATTTGGTGATGGTCAACGGTACAAATGAAAACATTATGATGGGAACCACCGAAAACGTATTTCCTTGCCTCATCTGCAACGAAAACTTCTTATCGGGGCCAAGTTTGGAGAAGCATATGTTTTCGCACATTAACGATGAAAAATATTTTAGAACTGAAGATTTAAACTATTATCCAACTATCAACATTGTTGAAACAAGTCAGGCTTCCAACTCCAATGATCAATGTGGAATTGTTTTTACAAATGCAACTTCTTTACAAAGAGTTGGGGAAGGAAGACCTCATGCACAATGTAGTAAAAGTTGGTTGATTGATAACCCAGCACATAAATGCGATCAACTTAAACCAGATGGAAAGTTACAAACCAAGTCACTCCTTCATACCAACAGAAGACCAGTACCAGGTTTGCAAACCTGCAGTGAAGATGAACCATATGTTTGCAAACAATCAAACAACAACAACCTGAAAGGAAGGCAAAAGTTGAATATGCATATTAGAACTCATACCAGTAAGAAACCATATATTTGTGAACATTGTGGAAAGGTTTTTTTGCAATCATCCTCTTTGCAAATACATAAACGAATTCATACTGGTGAGAAACCTTATGTTTGTAAACAATGCGGAAAAGGTTTTACCATATCATCTATTTTACATAACCATGAGCGAACTCATACCGGAGAGAAACCTTATGTTTGTAATCAGTGTGGAAGTGGTTTTTCGGCAACCATCTAGTTTACATAGACATAAGCTAACTCATACCGGAGAGAAACCTTATGTTTGTAATCAATGTGGAAGTGGTTTTTCGCAACCATCTAGTTTACATAGACATAAGCTAACTCATACCGGAGTGAAACCTTATGTTTGCGAACAATGTGGAAAAAGTTTTTCTCAGTCATCTAGTTTATATAGACATGAGCGAACTCATACCGGAGAGAAACCTTATGTTTGCGAACAATGTGGCAAAGGTTGTTCGCAATTATCTCATTTACGTGAACATAAGCGAACTCATACTGGAGAGAAACGTTATGTTTGTAAACTATGTGGAAAGCGTTTTTCACGATCATCCTATTTGCATAGACATGAGCAAACTCATACGTGAATGTTACTTTTACAAGACCATCAGCAAACTCATACAAAGGGTTTTCCGCAATTATCTGGTTTACGTCGACATGAGCGACTTCATATCAGAACAAAGCATTATGAGTGCGATCAACGTGGAAAGGGATTTACAAAGAAAATTTATTCACAAAAACATTTTTCAATTCACATTGGAGCATAAAAACCAAATGTGGGAGAGACTGAATAACTACCTAAGTATTTGCGAAAGCATAGGCTGAGCGATTTACCATCACACGTAAGAAATGCTTTGAACTTGAAAAAAAATCTTCTATTCACTGGTCATTATACATGTGATCCATTTAAAACAGTATTCACAATGGCGGCCCTAAAGTTTTTATCATAATGGAAGATTTGTCGAAGGATGAAAATAAGTAAAGCGCAATGCAAGAATAATCGACTTCTATGTTTTTTCAGACCATGAATGGCCATTAAATTAAAAAAATTCTATAATCAAGATGCTTTGTGTAACTATATTATGAACTCTATTTTATTATTTGGGCACATAATATCAATCACTTAAAAATTGTTTATGTTGATCAAACATCTGTACCTGTCTATCATTTGCAATAAAATGATGGATTCTGATTAGGTATAAACAAGGATTCCTGTGTTTGACTTCATATAAGGGAAATAGTAAATAACAATTATACATATTCCATGGGCCATGGCGCATTATTTTATTATCAGCCCGAATTAGGCAGATTTTGTCCATCGCAGCAGCATTGTTGCATTGCTTCACACTGTAACTACGTGAATATCTTGGTCACCTTCGAAGACTAATTATCGAAGCAAGTAGGAATGGCCAATTCAAATATCTCTTCATTCGAATATCAGATTTTAGTGTGACTTCACACATCTGCGACACCGCTTTCAAATCTAGGTCGCACATTCTCTTGTTTTGCAAAAATCTCCTCTACGGCGTGCGCAACAACAATCCAGGTCAAACTATATTATTTCAACCCCCTTCAGCATTTCATTAATGCCGCCTGCGTATAAACACACTCGGGCATTGGTAGATGTAAGTCAGGGGCGGGCAACATACGGCCCGCGGGCCGGATCCGGCCCGCAAAGAGATTTTGACCGGCCCGCTGACTGTATCCAACCACACTGTTATGTGGTCCGACGCATCATTCCTGAAAGTTGCCGATCGCTCTATTCTCACCGCACTGTAAGTGCTTGCTGGTGAAATAAACAATTGCTTTAGTGAACAAACAATTGCGTTAGCACACTTGTTGAACAAACAATATAAGTTCAGGGCAGAGAGCGCTGTAAACATTCCCCACTACTGTTATCAGTTTAGATTTTAAATATAATTAGATTTTAGGAATTAGATTCCATATTAAGTTTTATTAACCATGGAATATCCCAAGAAAAGTAAAGTTGACAGAGAGTGTCGAGCATTTAACAAAGATTGGATACCAAAGTATTTTTTGTAAGAATCTGGCCCGCCGAGGACTTCATTTTCCAACATCCGGCCCGCCGACTAGAAAAGTTGCCCACCCCTGATGTAAGTTCTGCGCTACACACAATAACAATATGGTACACATAAATTAATATGTAAATAAATTGTAGACTTAAATATTGGAATTAAGAACTGCTTTGAACTTTGAAGAAAAAACTTCTAGGAAGACACTCAATGGTCCTTATACATGTGATCTATTTAAAACAGTATTCCCTAATTCATGCACACTGAAGGTTATATTTGTAAGCAATGTATGCAAATGGAAGATTTAAGTAAACCGCAATGCAAGAATAATCGACTTCTGTTCTTTTCAAAGCATGTTAACAATCAGAAGTTTACAAGACATGAAATTAATTTCTCTAATCAAAATTTCGGAAATTTTTTTTATGCTTCTTGGAACACACTTCCCGCGCAAAAGACCTATTAGGCGCTTTCAGCCATTTATATATATATTTATGATAATGATTCAAATCTTACATAAAAGATGACAGCTGTTTAATGCCACAAAGCTTCGTGTTTCAATGTTCGAGACACTGTTGTCGCTGTAACAGTCATGATTGGTGTTTTATTCCAGGTTTACTGCTGAATTAGGTATTTTATTGCAAGTACTGCTCAAGTGTAATATGTGTAGAAAATTGTATGTCTTTGAAAATGCCTGTATTGAGATATTTTCAGCTTATTTTGTAAATTATCAAATAAATAATTAAAAAGTACCGAATTTTTCCTCGATTTTGGATGTCCTACTTGATTTTAGGGTTTGTCTCTAGATTTGAGGTTATCTTTATATACACTGCTCAAATGTTTATGTCTAGAAAATTGTATGTTTTATTTTGTAGATTATCAGTTATAATTAGAAAGTACCGAATTTTCCATTGATGTCGTACTTGATTTTAGGGTTAGTCTCTAGATTTGAAGTTTTTTTTTTTATATACACCGTTATTTTTATCGTTACCTTTCTGTTCCTCTGATTTTACTCGAATGTTTGGTTGTATTAAGATTGTTAGGTCGTGAATAAGATTAAAATAACAATAATTGAAGTGAATATTGAGAAGAAAATTACATCAAACTGTGCGTCCACAATTTATGGCAATGGTCAATGGTGCAAAATGCAAACATTACTATTAATATTCAGCAATTCTACATTATGGAAATGATCGAAACCATCGAAGATGTATTTCCTTGCCTCATTTGTAATGAAATATTCTCATCGGGGCCAAGTTTGGAAAAGCTTTCGCACATTCATGATGAAAATAATTTACCTGGTGATAATTATCTAACTTTCAACATCAACTCTGATGAGCATTGTGGAAAAGGTATTACAAACAAAACTTTTTTACAAAGAGCTGGGGAAGGGAGACCTTATATTCATGCACAATGTAGTAAAAGTTGGTTGCTTGATCAAACTAACCAAGCACCTAAATGCGAGCAACTTAACATAATCTCTGTACCAGACGAGAAGTTCCAAACCAAGTCACTTGTGCATACCAACATAAGTCAAGGGTCAGCTTTACAAACCAGCAGTAGAGATGAACCATATGTTTGCGAACGAAGTGGGAAGAACTGGGAAGGAAAGCAAAAGTTGTATATGCATAGGAGAACTACCAGAAAGAAATCTAAAGGATTTTCGCAATCATCTCATTTATGTGACCATGAGCAAACTCATACCGGGAAGAAACCTTATGTTTGCAGACAATGTGGAAAGGGTTTTTCACAATCATCCTCGTTGCAAGTGCATGAACGAGTTCATACTGGAGAAAAACCTTATGTTTGTAAACAATGCGGTAAAGGTTTTTCTCATTCATTCAATTTACGTAGACATGAACGAACTCATATGGGAGAAAAACCTTATGTTTGTAAACAATGCGATAAAGGTTTTTCGCTATCATTCAATTTACGTAGACATGAACGAACTCATATGGGAGAAAAACCTTATGTTTGTAAACAATGCGGTAAAGGTTTTTCGCTATCATTCAATTTACGTAGACATGAACGAACTCATATGGGAGAAAAACCTTATGTTTGTAAACAATGCGGTAAAGGTTTTTCGCAATCATCTGATTTACATAGGCATGAGCGAATTCATACCGGGGAGAAACCTTATGTTTGTAAACAATGCGGTAAAGGTTTTTCTCAATCATCTTGTTTACATAACCATGAGCGAATTCATACCTGGGAGAAACCTTATTTTTGTAAACAATGCGGTAAAGGTTTTTCGCAATCATCTGATTCACATAGGCATGAGCGAATTCATACCGGGGAGAAACCTTATGTTTGTAAACAATGCGGTAAAGGTTTTTCTCAATCATCTTGTTTACATAACCATGAGCGAATTCATACCGGGGAGAAACCTTATTTTTGTAAACAATGCGGTAAAGGTTTTTCGCAATCATTCAGTTTACGTATACATGAACGAATTCATACCAGAGAGACACCTTATGTTTGTGAACAGTAGACACCTTATGTTTGTGTACAGTGTGGGAGGAGTTTTTCGCAATCATCTGATTTACATAACCATGAGCGAACTCATACCGGGGAGAAACCTTATGTTTGTAAACATTGTGGGAAGTGTTTTTTGCTATTATCTAATTCAAAAGTGCATGAACGAATTCATACTGGAGAGAAACGTTATGTTTGTAAACAATGTGGGAAGTGTTTTTCGCAATTATCTGGTTTACGTGTGCATGAGCAAACTCATACTGAGGAGAAACCTCATGTTTGTAAACAAAGTGGGAAGTGTTTTTCGCAATCATCTGGTTTACGTGTGCATGAGCAAACTCATACTGGGGAGAAACCTCATGTTTGTAAACAGTGTGGTAAGAGTTTTCCGCAATCATCTAGCTTACGTAGCCATGAAAGAAGTCTTGAATGTGCCCAGAACGTGAGATGGGAAAAGGAAAAGTGCGTTAATCGCCGCGAAAGCATAGGCTGAGTCAACTGCCCAAACTTATACGTAAGAACTGCCTGTTTTAGAAGAATGTGGAAAAGGTTCCACATAAAATATCGTCGGATAACATTTTTACTGGGGTACTATTTCCTTGTGCAATGTTAACAACGACTAACAAGCTTTACAGCATGGCTGTTAATAAGTCAGGAGTTGAATGGACATGAAACGTAAATAGTTTCTTTAATAAAAATACCCGAAAAATGTTTTAATGCTTTGTGTAACAATATTTTGAAATCTAGTTTGTCATTTGGGCACATAATATTAACCAATTAAATTGTTTTTGTGGATCCAAACAAATGACCCTTGCAATAAAATTATTTTTATTAGCTTCGAATAAATATTCCTGGGTCTAACTTTTATATCAGGCAACTAATAATCAACAGTTAGTTATACATACTCTATGGCGCATTATTTTATTATCAGTCCGGATTAGGCCGAGGCCCCTAACGTTAATCCATCGTCAGCATTCAGCCTTGGCATTATCATAAATTCTTGATCTGGTCCACTGCCTCAAACATCCTCTAGTACAGGAGTGGCCAACCCGCGGCTCGCGAGCCGCATGCGGCTCTTTTCGCCTTGGTTATTTGAGGAAAAAACAAGTTGAAAACTACGATTCATCATTAAATACGATTTATCATTTTCGATTAAACATATTATGATTCATCTACATTATTCTTTTACGGCGAAAATACGCCTTCATTCACTTTACCATGCAATCGTTTATCATTACGTCACAATTAAATTCTTTGTTGTGAGACGCGCTTATTGCACAACAACGGCTGTCGTGAAAGGAGTGGAAGTGGTGACTCCTCTACGGCCCATCAGGCTATGGGCCACAGCCCATCAAGTTGTGTAAAGGGACTATACACTTGGCTAACATAGATAGTCACCGAACTCATAATAGAACTATAATGTGAAAAAAATCTGAACAAAATTTTGTCCTAAACCTAACTCGGTACACATACTACAGGAGTATCCGCTTCTGTAGCTTGTTATTGGACACGTAGTGGACATAACGATCGTTTCAATATTATGTTGTTGTTGTTGTTCTTGTTCTTTGACACGTTTTTAAAAAGTCGCTTTTCTCTTCGAATACTGGACCAATTGCTTTGAAATTTCTAGTGGTTAAAGATTAATTTTTTCGCTAGAAGGCTATTACTTTTGTTTATTCCTAAATTTTATATGAATCCTATGAGATATGATATTTCATACAAAATTTCGCGGTATTTATTTTTACTCATGGGAACACTGTTTTACACTTATTTCAAGCGGTTTCGCGATCGATTGTCTTGCTCAGTACTACAGCTACTGTAGGTCGGTACTGGTAAGTTGCCATACCGGTACCGTAACGCAGTGAAATTGACTTATTCCTTCCGCGGTATTACTAATGCTGCAATGCAAGTTTCATAGCCTATCGTATGCGGAACGGAATATCAGACCTACAAGTTCGGTACCGGTACTGGTAGCTCAGTACGTATTTGTTTATTTTGATGAGAGTCTACTGGAAACAACATAAAATTTGAAAGGGAAGAATTGTTCTGTGATCAATTATCTGTCCTAAAGTGTAAACAACATAAAATTTGCAAGGGAACAACTGTTCTGTGATCAATTACCGTATATGGCCTACAGTGTACAGGTAAGATGCTGGCTGACTGGTACGGTACTGGTGCCGGTACCGGTGTCTTACCACAATGAAATTACCGTAACTTATTCTTTCACGGTCCTACCAGTGCAGTAATGCAAGCGTTGTAGCACTTGTAGCCTACTATATTTGTTTATTTTGATGAGAGTCTACTGGAAACAACATAAAATTTGAAAGGGAAGAATTGTTCTGTGATCAATTATCTGTCCTAAAGTGTAAACAACATAAAATTTGCAAGGGAACAACTGTTCTGTGATCAATTACCGTATATGGCCTACAGTGTACAGGTAAGATGCTGCCTGACTGCTAACTCAGTACCGCTTGACACGTTTTTAAAAAGTCGCTTTTCTCTTCGAATACTGGGCCAATTGCTGAAATTTTTAGTGGTTAAAGATAAAAATTTTCTCCAGAAGGCTATTACTTTTTTTTTCGCTATGACGTCATCAAAATTATTTGACTCTACGTGTCCATATATTTGAGCATAGCTCTCTTGTTTTGCTTTATTTTTATATAAGGGCTTATCGTAAAAAAAAAAAAATTGGTGGCATTGCGCTATTTTGTTGGTTCGATTATTGACAATTTTGTAAAAATTGAAAATTTTGGTGAGATAATTGAATTTTTCCTGATGGGGCCCATGTGGCCCAAATGAGATCCAAATGAGATGGGCCGTAGAGGAGTCACAACCCCTGTAGGAGGAAAGCGCAATTTGCGATTTGGGTGAAGTATATAGAGTGCAGATAGAACGTTACAGATTACGTCGTCGACGACTCATTTAATTCTGGGACGGATAGTTTGTAATTCCCTCTAGTCTCAGATGAGGCTGCAACTGAGCTGAAAATCGATCTTCATGAAGACCAACTTAAATGCGCTTCAAATCAAGGGAATTGGCACCATTGAGTTATGGGAAAGCATGCCAATTATGTCAAACGAGCTGCGCTTAGGATATCGTCATTGTTTAGTCAACATAGACAGCGAACCTGTGTTCTCTATCCTTAAATACGTGAAATCAAAGCATTGGTCAGAACTGACTGACACCCATGTGAAAGAACTGCTTCGATTAGCTACGACGACATAAAGGCAAAATTTAAAGAGGATTGTTCAATCCAAGGAATGCCAGAAATCCCACTAAGTAGCATGCATAACAATAAATGACTTGTAATCTTCTGTCATGATCATGTTGGTTAGTGATATTTACAATAAACTAGCATTCAGGCACAGCTGAATAAAGGTATATCGGATGTTCATATGTGTCTCTGTTTATAATGTGTCTCTTCTCGGTAATAAAGTACGAAATGCAGCTCTCGGTCTCTGACTGGTTGGCCACCCCTGCTCTAGGATTTTGGTTATTTAATCTGTGAATGTTTAGTACAAATTTTAAGAAGCTTTTTTTCTATGAGTAGCTATTTCTATAACTAGCTGTACATAATATGGTCACACATTTTATAACCATGTATTAATTTTTGTTTGCGCTCATTTTTATATTTCATATGTTAAGCTTGTTTTTGGAGCTTGAACGGGACTATATAACTACTAGACCAGGAGTGGCCAACCCGCGGCTCGCGAGCCGCATGCGGCTCTTGAACCGGTTTCATGGTATATCTGATGTTCTTGTTTATAATGCGGCTCTTCACGGTATCAAAGTACGAAATGCGGCTCTTGGTTTCTCACTGGTTGGCCACCCCTGTACTAGACAATGACACTTCATCCATCACCCAATTGATTGACTTAATTGTTTGTTTCAACAACCAGTTTCTCTCTGTTTTAAAAATGTTGAATGGCCTTATATATGTTGAATAGTTTGTATATACCGTAGCTCTATAAATTAATGCTCGCACATTTTTCAACCATTTACCAATGTATTTATATTTTTGTTTGATATCTCTACTGGTACTAATGGACCATAATCAAACTTTAACACTGTTGTTCAATTGTATTTCATTCTTTTACTGATACTTCTAAAACTGGTCTGTTCTATGATTTACATATACTCCTGGTGTGCTTTTGAATAACGATACTTGCATCATGTGGAATGTCACTTTAATATTCAGATTGAAATGTTTTCTTCTCGATTGTATTTTTTTCTAGTGCCCCCAATTTTGAAACTCTGCCAAAAACTGAAACAACAAATAATACAAGACAAAGTACTACCGTACTCAACTATGTACCTAGCTGCGTTCAATACGTGCTGTCGCATTTCTGTGTAGAATACCGTTCCCATGGTTACCCCATGGGAGGTGCCCGGAGTCGTATTTTTGTATGTAATGAGCGTTTTGTTTGTTTTTTCTATTGTTGTTGCCGTAAATTTTTTTAAATTTTCAATGTTCGACTTTTACTTTCTCCAGATGATAGTTAGACTTAACCATAGGTGTCGCTGCTTGCTCGCGCCCTCCACTTTCACATTTTTGGACACGTAGTGGACATAACGATCGTTTTGTTGTTCTTGTTCATTGACACGTTTCGAAGAGATCGCTTTTCTCTTTGATTATTGGACCAATTGCTTTGAAATTTTCAGTGGTTAAAATGGAAATTTTCTCCAGAAGGCTATTACTTTTATTTTCTGCTATGACGTCATCAAAATTATGTGGCTCTACGTGTCCATATAATTGAGCACACCTCTCTTGTTTTTTTATTATTTTTGTATGATGGTGAAAAAATAAAATACTGATCGTAGTTGCATTGTAACCATGTGTATATCTTGGTCATCTTTAAAATTCCCCAGACTAATTTTTCTTCGGATTTGGGAGTTCCCCGCCCACATGTTAGACTCATGACTCTGTAAATAATCTATGGCAAGGGGGCGGTGTTCTGTCAATAAAAGTAATTTCCAAATTTTTTGATTCGGATGTTAGAACTTTAGTTCCCCACGACTTCCCTCCCCTTGTAAAACTGTAATTATCATTTTTCGTAATTTGTGCTCATGTGATGAACTTGCCAGTGACTGATAGTGGTCCGTGGTTTGCTACATGATTCTTTTTGGTTTTATTCTAGTTTTTACTAAAATTAGTTATTGTAAGTGCTTCTCAAGTGTTTTATATGTCTAGGAAATATCTTTAAAAATGCCTGTATTGAGTATTTGAGCTTCAGCTTATCTTGTGAATAATCAGCTAGTTGATTGGAAAGTACCGTATTTTCCCACAATGTTGGATGTTGTATATTGTTTTCTTACATTGCATTATTTTTAACATATCCTTCTATTCTACTGATTGTTAGGTGGATACTGTGATAAATGAGATTAAAATGCATTAATTGAAGTTAAATTGAGAAAATTTACATCAGGACCTTATTAGGAAGATATTTTAAACTGGGGGAAATTTATACATTAGACTGACACTACTATCAATATTCATATATTCTCCATTATGGAAACCTCGGAAGACGTATTACTTTGCCTGATCTGTAATGACAACTTATTATCAGGGCTTAAGTTTTGGAAAAGCACATGTTTTCGCCACATATATAATTAAACCTGGTGATCTAACTATCAACATTAACTCTGATGAGCATTGTGGAAAAGGGATTACAAATGAATGAGAACGCGATGTTTATGCATAATGTAGAGAAAGTTGGTTGATTGATAAAACATGACCCAGCACATAAATGCGAGCAACCCGTGTATCAGTCGAAAAGTTACAAACCAAGTCACTTGTTTATACCAACAGAAGACCAGGTTTAGATTTACAAACCAGCAGTAGAGATGAACCATATGTTTGCAAACGATGGGGGAAGAATTTGAAATCAATGGGAAATTTAAATAGACTTCATACCGAGAGAAACCATTTATTTGATTGTGAACATTGTGGTAAGGTTTTTTGCAATTATCTCATTTACATAACCATGAGCGCATTAACACCGCCTTGTGAACAATGTGAAAAATTTTATGTGTGTATGAGAAAAGTTATACCAGATGTAAACCTTATATGTTTGTCACAATCATCTCATTTACATAGGCATAAGCGAACGCATACCGAAGAAAAACATTATGTTTGCACACAATGTGGAAAGGGTTTTTCGCAATCATCTAATTGAAATAGCCACAAGCGAACTCATCCCAGAGGAAAGCCTTATGTTTTGCAAACAATGTGGAAATGGAAATTTATGTGAGCAAACTCGTATGTAAAATAAACCT